CAGATAAGCGCAACAACATTTGAAAGTGAAAGCATCGCTAAGTTCTCAGTTCGAGCCAAACAGCAATCGGACAAGGATCAATTCGAGTCGCACAGTCGAAAATTAAAGCAACCTTTGCTTACTGATCAACAATTTGGTGTATTTGTATTTGTTCAGCTCAAATAAAATAAAATATTTGCTTTTGTTTTATGTTTGAAGACAAATCTCAGTTCAGCTGTACTTGAGGCGCACCTGATTAAGGCATTTGCATTAAAGCGTGCCAACTGCTTAGCTTGTTCAATGGCCATCAGCAGCAGTAGATGGGCATTGGCAATTGGCAATTGGCAACTGGCAGCCAAGCTTGTCTTGTTGGCTGTCCAAGAAGAACCGACAGCAAATAGAGCGTGTCCATGCCAGACGCTTGACCAACTGTGTCTGTGTCTGCAACTTGAAAGTGCAGCGCAAATGAATGAATCAATGATTCAATGAATCGGGTTACATGATGCATTCAGTTGCCTCGTTCGGTTGCATAGATGCCCCGAATTGTGGCAACTTGTGGCAACACTTGTGCCTTGTGCCGCTGTGTTCTTGAGAATTATCGCATGGGGAATTCTCCCAGCGCATTCCTTTGCACCACATGTGGCTGCTGCTGCTGTTGCTGCTACTGCTGCTGCTGCTGCTGCTGCTGTTGCTGTTGCTGCCACTAATAATAATAATAACTGACTGTTCGTATTCGTATGTGGCGCGAGGTCTTGACATTGTACCTTGAGCAGTGTCATGTGTTGCTCTCGTCGTCGTTGTTGCTGCTGCTGCTGCTGTTATTGTTGTTGTTGTTGCCTTTTGCTCATGTCATCGGCAAATGTAAATGAAAATCTAATTGTTTGCCGATCTACAAATATATATGTATATGTGTGCGGGTGTGTATCAGTGTGTTACAAGGCATGGCCAACATTTATCTATCAACCAGCATCCACACCCAGTGGGCGTTGCACATAGACAGAAAACGCAGTTGCTCCACTTTTGTCAACGGCCGTGCACTGTTGAATCATCGAGGTCGGCAGAGAAGGTTTTTGGGGGCAAGTACTCGCACATGCAACAGCCTGATGCAGTTGCACAACCCAAACTATTGATAAACCATAAGCGATGCGCTTGACTGACTGTTATTGCTGTTGCAACCACAACATTCTTGGCAGGGCTCATTGCAACCACAAAAGTGATTGCCCACCATCAACTAAGTCTAACGAGTATTCGCAGTTAATTAATCCAAACAAATTCCATGCACAATTCTATATAAGATGCCGCCCTCAGCTGTCCATATATGTGAACAGTATCCATGATGTCATTCTCGATCTTAAAATGCTTATCCAAGTCCAAATGCATGGCATTAATCACATTCGGCACCTTTGAACAGACGCCAAATTGGCACTGGGCCCGAAACCAAATAGGGATTCACCTTATTGAGAACTCAATGGAAGATTTGTGTAAGATTTGTGTAAGATTTGCCTGTGAAATTCTCATTGCATTGATTTTCATTTGCATACCAGAAATATTCCAAAGAAATGACATTTTACAAATTGAGAAATAAAAAACAATTATCGATTGCATTTCTCGATTACCAATGATATGCCAAGCAAATGGCTCATGCGAATGGCCACTCTACAAGTAACCATTGAAAAGATACCTATATATGTAAGGCCATGTGAAATACTCTATGTACATATATATGTACACAAAAACTAATACCCTCTCAACGCCTTTGGGAACAGTGTATAAAAAGGCCAAAAATTAATTATGGCTCAGCTGGAACAAATTGTCTGCATGTCGGTAATTCGTGTTATGGCTCGTTTGAAAATGAAAGTGCATACATATATACATACATATATGTATGTATGTGTAGATTGACCAATAAATAACATTTGATAGAATTACGTAAAAGTGATGGATGCATATAAATATCATTTCACCAATGCTTATTAGCCACATGCCAACTGCTTCAATTTCTTGTTTCTTATCTAATTAACAGCATTCTCTCTCCCTGTCTCCCTCTCTCTCTCTCTCTCTCTCTCTCTCGCTATTCTCTCTCTCTCTCCCTCTCTCTTGGCCAAATTCAAAATCTACAAATATCTGTGAGTATTCACAGAATTTCAGGTATTTTTTCAGAACTCTTCCATACCCTTCCAAGAACATCACATTAGAGTTATTGGTGCTTTATATATAATTATATATATATATCAACTGGGGTATCTGCTAGTGTAGAATGGGCTTTTGTTTGTTTGGTTAAGTTTATTATGGCTGTAGCATGCCGTAATATCTGCCACTGACTGCTCTTCATTCGGGTACTTTGTCATTATGCTGCAAGCAGCACTCGCATCTGAGTACATGGTCAATATGTATATAATATACATATGTATGCACATATGTGGGCGTTTGACAGTCCATGTTATTCGAATCCACGCCCCTTGCCTCAGCGCACCACCCGACACCCTGACAGGCCACAGCGATGCATTTTGTGGCACGTCTCATGTCTCACGTCTAATATCTCATGTCTCATGACTTCGGTCTTCGGTCTTCTGTCTTCTGTCTTCTGTCTTGTGTCTTGTGTTATTTGGCTTGTGTCTTGTATCTTGTGTGTAGAGTTTGTGGCTTGTCATTTGCCATTATTCACACTGGTAGCTGACAGAAGGCGAACGCAAAGTACAAAGATAAACATTTTGCATGGCCATTGGTAAAACTCATATAATTACAAGAAGCTGTCGCCGGGCAGCTTCAAATGACAACGGCAACAGCAACAGCAAGAGCAACAACAACAGCAACAACAACAGAAAGAGCAAAAAAAATTAGCAAATTTGCCAAACAATGCGGATCGCTGGGCACGAAGTCACCAAATGTCGCATTGATGGAACTTTTTTCTTTTGTCGGCTGCTCCATACCGATTCCCATACCCATTCCCATTCCCAATTCTCATTTCCACTCCCTAGCCACGGCTGGAGACTTGAGTCTCGATCGCCTGTTGCCCCAGCCGGGGCAGTGTGGCAATTATAGGTCTCGACTGGTGCCACGCGTCCACATTTACAAGACTAGCAAATTATGTGCACTTTGCGGCTAAGGCTGTTGTTGTTGTTGTTGTTGTTGCTGTTGTTGCTGTTGTTGCTGCAGTGACTGCTATTCTACTGCTGCCGCTTAGCTGCAGCAGATTGTACAGTAGAACTGCTTTATTGTGAACTGCTCTTGAGTAGAAGAAATGCAATTTTCAAAATCTTAATAATTGTCGCCAATGATTAACTTTGTGTGCTGGCTAAAATTCCGTTAGTATTATTACTAAATATGTATCGAAAGTGCTGATCCTATTGTCTGGGAAATACACAACAAGTAGACAGGTTTGGCAGTAACTATTTGTGTGAAATATGCTGCAAATCTTAACCTAAACAGATACTTAATGTTGCCGCACTGAAATGTATCTGTGGCAAATATTCAATTGTGTTCGGGTTCTAGTTGAGCAAGTATCTCAGCCAAGTCCTTGTTTTTGAGCTTAACTGTACTGCACAGTGGACACTAACTGAAATATGTACAAAAATACATGCATAACAAATATACAAATTGTGTGGCAAAGAGTAAGAAGCTGCCACGTCGCTGCTAAAATGGAGCAACTGTGGGGCTGAGGCTAGGCTGGAGCGGCACACTCACAGTTACACCTACGGTTGCAGTTGCATTTACTGTTACAATTACAGCAACAGTTACAGTTTCAGTTGCAGCTCGATAGCAGTTGCAGCGGTTAAGCGTTAACCTGGCTGGCTGCGACTGGCGATTTTTGGTTTCTGTTTTTGTCTGATTTTGGCAGCAGGTTCACTACGAACGTGGCATGCGCTGCACTTGAGAATTGGGTAAATGGTAAATGGACAACTGGCAACTGGCAACTGGCAACTGGCAACTGTGCAGCATGCCACACGGTGGTGCTGCCATATCCGAGTTGTCCATGTGCCGCACGCAGCTGAGTGCAGAGCACTCGAAACGAGAGCAAAAATAGTCATTGTTGTTGTTGTTGTTGCTGCTGTTGCTGTTGCTGTTGCTGCTGTTGTTGCAGCTTTCGGTAACCTATTTGTTGTTGCCTTTGGATTTTTGTTTAGCAGTTTAGCGCCCGTTGTCGTGTCCCCGGTGCCAGTAGTGTCCACGTACCAACATTGGCCTAATGTTGCACATTGTGTGCGGATCTTGTTTATTATGCAAGAAAGCTGCCAAACTAAGCCAGTGACAACAGCAACAACAGCAACAGCAACTGCTGAGCACAACATATAACCGAAAGAAAAGTTATTTACTCAGCGTATCCAAAACTTTCATACTCCTATCAGTGCTCTGAATACCGATCAACAAATGCACAATGATAACAATCCATATGAAAAAAAAATGTTCTAGCAAACTGTTTATCCTTTTTTACTTTCCATTTTGTCTGTCAGTTTTCGCAGCATTTGGTTGTGGTGGATGTCTACAAGAAAAATGGTTTTCACATTTTCAATTTTCGATAAATTCAATAATTGATTTGGAAGAGCCTTGAAAATGGTGTTGAAGTCAATCGGACTGAATTAGAGCAGTCGGCCTAGCAACCTGAAAAGTTTTACTAACTCATTAAAATCTATGAAAATCAGTTTGAAAAGCATAAAAAGTAGCTGGCCATTTCCAAATGCCCCTCAAAATCGGTTCATAAATGGAAATTGGTGGGTAAAAATTCGCTTTATTTTTGATTGGAGATCGAATTATACAAATTATAGATAGATTAACGATGAAATTTGCAGCATTGATCAGCTCGGAAATATGTCATAAGTTGTACACTAATATTTGAACATTCGCAGCTTATTTAAAATGTTGCCACACAATTCATATAAGGAATGATTACCAGCAGCATGTGGATTTTGATTGCTGGAATTGCCCAAAGCTTGGAGCATTCAGCACTTTCACATGCACTGCGCACTCCACATACAAATGCCTAATTTCAGGTCGAGTATTTTAATATGCGTATAACAAAATACCTTTTCGACTTGTTGTTGTCGTTGTTGGTTTTCGTCACTATTTGTGGCCCAATGTTTCACTTGATACACAAAACAAAAACAAAAACACATAAATAAATTGACAAATTATAATACATATGTATGTAATAATAATAAATAAAATATACAAGAAAACACACACAGACACAATTCGAATTCACAAACCGAATTTAAAATGAAAGGCAACGCGTGCCAAGTGTCGTTATTGGGTGCTCCGCTCGGATCGATTTTGAAAGAACCCGCCAAATCCGCGAATGCAACAGCAAAAGCAACAGCAACAGCAACTGCTACAGCTACGGCTACTGTCTATTGTCTACTGTCTACTGTCTACTGGCACTGGACTGCCTGCCAGCAGACAACTGCGAGCGGCGAGCTGCAGACTGCGCTGCAGACTGACTGCAAATGGAAACGAAACACGAGACACAAACTGGAATCGAAACAGGTCTAAATCGTTCTGCGCTGAGGCGATATGCATGTGCCTGTATATATATTATTCCACATATAGCCTGTTAAAGGTTGGCCAAAACGGCCCACAGCTAATCAGGCTCTTATGCATTTTACTAACCAATGTGATTTAAATAGCAGGAATGTTGTTGCAATAATACTCCAAGATCAATAACAGCTGAAAAGATGTGGGAAAAGGGTCACCCTTTCGGTGACCTTTGAATAAGTTGATCAGTTGGCAATTTTAGCTGTAGATTTTATTTAATTTGCTGGCCATAAAACTAATGCACACTCGAAGTTTTCTGACTCTAGCCAATCTTTTGGGATAAGCACCAATCAAACTAGCAAATTAGTTGACTCCAACTGCAGTCCTAACTTTTGGTATCGGTCTAAGTTCACTTCTATAGTTAATTAACTAAAAAGATAATGTTGCATTATAATTGAATGCGAGGCAAAACTAGAGCAGGTTGTCCTGTCGAACGTTGCCTTGAATCCAACTTGAAATCCAAATGGTTCGTCAAACATATGACGATATATATATATATATGTATATCTTATCTAGATGTGCCACAAAAACCTTGATGTGTGCCAGACATATAAAAGAGCCAAAGTTAATGCCTCGGCAATCCTCAAGCGTTTAATGCATTTCCTGTCAAAATCGCCCTATTAAAAGTACAGCAAGATACAAATCGTAAATTTGATATGCCACCTGCCGCCGGACATTCGTTTGGGGCAAGGTCAGCGACGAGCTGACAGCCAAAGTGGCAACCGGTGAGCATCGATGGTCGCATGGATTGCCTTGATTGTTGCGGTTCAGTGCAACTGCCTCGGAAGTGTTTTTCTCGCTTTTTTCGCATACCCTTTGCAAAGGCTACCATAAATCTGTCACGCAACTCGTAACGCATTAGAAAAGACAATTGCAGAACAGATTATTCTGTTTATATGCATGTTGTGCAGGCCTCATCGGATTGATATTTATTCAATATGTGAAGCAGTGTATTAAAAGGATCAGTTTTCTATGTTTATGTTTATCGAGTAGAGTATTTCATCTTCGGCTGATACGTTTCTAGTCGTTGGCAGCTTGATTTGATCGCATTGTTTTGTCCAAGTTCAGGTTGACGCTTCCTCTTGGGGGCGCTGTGCAGCGTTGCAGAAAACTAACAGCTTGGGGGGCACTGAGACACATTTGTACATTTGTACATTTGTAGAAGACTGGCCTCAAGTGTGGCATAAATTAGCGCCGCATTAAGGCGTAAACTGTTGCCAGCAGCAATCCGTTAAGTTTGGAATTCACTTGGATATACATATATACTTATTTGTATGTAGTATATTATTAGAGAATAATTAATCAGCTTACCTCAATCTTCAGATGGAATTCGGCTTGACTGCCCGTTGTATCCCAACCAGATCTAAAACAGGTTGCGATCAACAATTGTGCCAGAACCAACAACAACAACAACAACAAAAAATACACAAAATACACTAAATACACACAATACAGACACAAAAGATTACGCACACACACTCGGATAGAGTAAATATTTGTTTTGGGGACTGTGCAAAAATTGCAGACAGCATTAGCTAATTAATCGATTTGCATTATAACAATTGTATTTCATAACTTTTTCAAACAAAAATCTTTTCAAATGCACGGCAAATAAAAAAAAAAACAATTAAACACCAAACAAATGAAAGGTTTCATCTGTTATATACAGAAGAAGAAAACAAAAAATATATAGATACGTACATAAATATATATATTTATGCTGTTGTCATCAACGACAAATTAACAATATTTAACACTCGGCCATTAATGAAATAAATAACTGTTGCTGGCGCTTAACAAACATCATTTGCCAAAATGATGATGGTACACTGATGGTGCCATTAAGAGATTTCTCGCAAATTAGCATTCGTTGATGGAATTCACTCGTTGATTTACGCTGCTGCCGGGCAAATGGATAATGGATAATGGATAATGGTTAAACTTTTTGTCAACTCGACGTGAGCTTCTCCGAAATCACTTTGTGTCACTTTGACGGCTAACAGTTGACAGTTAACAGTTGACAGTTGACAGTTGTTGGTCAGTCGAGGGGCACCGCCAAACCGTCTGCAAGTCCATCGATTTGTCGAGTCGTTTTTTGTTTTTTTTTTGTTTTTTTTCGAATCGGTCGCGCCAAGCGTTGCAATGAACAGTTTCTCGGCTGTGTCAGCTGTTTAGCGCTGCTCGGTGCGAGTTCACGTCAGCTCTGGCCGAATGCACAACGCCGACTAACGCGCCAGTCGTCGTCGCCCATGTGATAAGGCCAAAGCTCCAAAACCGACGATCGACAGTGGAACGAGCGTGAGACGACGACTTAGGGTCCGATCGGAACATGGAACTCCATGTTGAGACAACGCCATCTCCATCGCCATCGCCATCGCCATCAAATCAAATAACTTATTACATATAATAATTTCAGATTTATAATATATTTGCAAGCTACAACAAACCTTATGAATAAATTCTCATACAAATAAACAAACTCAAAATTCACCAATCATGTTATTCATAAATATTAAGCTGACTGTCATTATTTTATTTATAAATGATTATTTCGGACTTATGAATACTGCTGACTGCTCTCAGCAGATCAAATTTGATACGCATTAACAACATTGTAAATTAGGTGAGCTTAATAAATGGTTAAAACTGAGTCAATAAATTATTCCAATTCCAGTTTACATTCGTGCGTTGAACACCAATCTGACTATGATCAAAATGTTGCGATAATTGGTGCGAAAATGTTGAATAGAAAGAATATAAATTCTGTGGCGATAACGAAAAGTAGAACAAGATCATTTCCATTAACATATATTTAAAGTAATCAAAGTCAAAATTAATCAAACACTTTCACATTCCTTATGAGCTCGTATAAATTTCAACGAATCGAATGTGAAATGTGAGGAGAAGGGCCAACAAAGGATCAGATGCATTTTTAAAATTAATTAGATTGTTTTGTTAAATATTAAAGTATCATTCGATATTTTTATTATTGTTCATCATAATTACTTTATTCATTATTAAAATGGAAAGTGTTTAAAGTAATCATCGGATTGCTCATAGATTATTGGATGAAATTAGTTCAGATACTAACTACTGCGAAAGTCGAGCTGGAACCTGCATAGCGAACTTATTCCTTCAAATGGATTGATTTCGATCAAATGAATAATAATAATAATAACAAAGTTAAGATATGCATAAATAGGATAGCAAAGTGCGGGATAAACATTCTTTCAAAGACGAACTTCACCTACGGGGCTACCTCGCAGCTATTTGTCTAACGAGAGGGGGGAAGGGGTACATTAAAAAGCAGTGCGCAGACGGAAGTTATGGCAATAAAACAAAAAGCTACATTAATAATCGAAACAATTAGACAAAGGCACACTGTTAAATATATGTGTGTATGTGTATGTGTATGTTTCTAGCGAACAACAGCAATAACAACGACCATAACAATAATAAAGTTGATAACTATTGACGGCAATGATTGCGACCCGATCGAAATCTGGAAAGGAATGGCATGAATGAAAACGGGGGGAGGGGAGCAAAGACGCCCGAGGGGTCAGTTGGGACGGGCATGTTGGGTGCGGCGCCAACAATAAACCTAACGGCACCATTACGATTATTTGTATGTAGATACACAAACACATACACATACCCACTCTATACACTCTATAGATCCATATAGCTACTTATATGTCTATATTATAAGACTAACTTACAGTTGTATGTTTGCATTTGTTTTTGTTGTTTTGTTTTTTTTTTCTTTTTTCTGCCACATTCTCCAAGGACAAACAACATTTTAGTGAGCGCCGCCGCCGGCTAACGGCAAAAGGCAGTCCGAAGTCAAGATTGATCTACAAAGCTCAGCTCTGGTCTCTGGTCTCTAGTCTCGGGTCTCAGGTCTCTGGTCTGTTTGAGTTTTTCGCATTCGCGTTGCAAACTTTCCTTTTTGTCTATATATACATATATGCACACACACACACACACACACACACATGTTGGGCACAAAGTGTGCGGGCGCACATTAAAACAAAAGCAACAAAGAACAGTTATGTATGTATCTTCTGGATGCCGAACATTTAATACCCTTGTATACATCAACAACATATTGATTGATGAAATGTGATTGATTCTCGATAAGGCAATCCTCTATTAACCAAGCACAGGCGTTAATCTGCACTCTCAGTTGTTGATTTTGTATCTCTATTAAAAAACAGCTAATTTAATGTCCTGCAACCATCATCTATCCAGGAAAAACTCGTCCGACTGCGACAGACAGTTGGAATATATCAACTCAAGAATGCTTTACACCTTTTGTTGGCAAATTGTAATGCTCTCGACAAGGGTATTGCAAAAGCAACAACAGCAACAACAACAGCAGCAGCAGCAGAAACCCCAACACAGGCAATGCCAATGAGGGCACCACATTAAAAAGGTGTGGCAACTCGGCTACGTTCTGGTGTATGTATAGCAACAATAACAGCAATAACTGCAACAGCAACAACAGCAACAGCAACAACAAATGCACCATACGCCAACATAGCAGTTAAAGTTAAAGTTACAGTTACAAATTCAAAAGCCGCCAGGCCAACAAAATGGCATAAATAAAAATTTGTGTTGGCTTTTCAGCAACTTGAAACAAAACTTAATGCCACACACACTTAAGCAAACACACACAAGAGCAGCACTAAGCCGATTAGACAAAGCACCGAAGTGCCAAATGCCCTAACAAATACATATACATAAATAAGTCCTGTTTAAAATAATATCATTTCACTTGCGACAGCTAAAACAAATACTTCTTGTTTTTTCAATGTTGTGTTATCTTTAAGTATTTATTTAATCAAAATTATGCATTTTCAACAAGTTGACAAGTAATTTCAGTATGAAAGAAAGACTTGCTAACTTAGATAGATGTAGAAATTGTTGTTTTCTTTATCAGACAGATAATTCAAAAAAACAAGCCAATAAATAACAAAGTATTTTATTTATTATTTTATATAAATTAAAGTGCAATAAATGAATGCACACAACTAATCTACAATATTGCATTAGAGTGCAGCAAATTATTAAAGTTCTGCAGGTTTTTTTTAGTGGTACAAACATCATGATTAAGTTTGGACGCCCTAACAATCGACTCAGATGGATAATAAATTATTTGTGTTTATAGATTTAATAACGATCGCATCGTATTTATTTCGTTTTTTTTTTTCTTTAACAATTTATTGGAGTGCTCACATATCATTTGTGATTGGTGTTTGGCTTACATTTAATTTTTTGGCGCTTGCCAAATCACTAAACAATTTATTCAAAGTGTTGGCGACAATTCACTTTTCGTTTTTGTGTACGCTTTAGATTTTTGATTCAAATTCAGAATCGCATTCGGATTTGGGGCGCAACAGATTTGCGCAACGGCAGCGCCAAAATTTATGGCCAACCGCTTACCACAAATGCAAGGTCAAACCATTTAGAATAACGACGGAGCAGAGGCGGTCCTCGTGCCCCATGCCCCATGCCACATGCCTCATGCTCGGTCCTGACCAGCAACAGGTCCGACTCCAGGCAGGAACCCGGGGCACAGCCCCCACCCAGCCTGTTGGTGAGTCAGCGGCATGCAATTGACTTTGATTTGTGGTGCACCCAAGTTGCACAAATAAATCAGCGCCAATTGCAATTTCCCAAGGCCGCAGCAGCCACAAAAGCGACAACGATTGCTGGGAGGTGTGTCTGTGTGTGTGTGTTGGAGGAGGGGTGGGGGAGATGGTTAGGCGCTGGGCAAAGGGGGCCACTGGAGCTGCAACAAAGGTCAAGTCAAGTGAAATTGTTGCGAATGGCGGCGATAGACAAAAGTGAGAAAGTTAAAAATTATGTCAAAATTTGAATTAGCAGATGGGAATAAAAAATTCGCATCTCAGCCAAACAATGCAGTCGCATAAATTAATTTTCATATCGGGTGCTGCGGAAAACGCTTTTCACTTTCGCAAATGCGACACACGATGTCGACTGGGTTTGGCTCAGTTTCGACATTAAGATGCCGAGATGAACATGTCACTCATTCAACATGTCACTCATTGCAGCTGCAAAATGCATTTACTCACATCTATTTTGTATGCATATGCATATGCATATGGATGTGTATGTGTATATATATAGCAATTTCCCTTTTGTGGTTTCGTTTCTTTTCGGGTCGTGTCTGCGGTTGTTTTCAGCACACACAAGTGAAAATGCTTTCACACCCCCAGACGTACTGGGAAATTGCATGGGCAATGAGGAAAAGTGCTCAGCTGAAATGAAAGTAAAGGCAACGGGTTCATTCAAACTTCTGAGTTTTTTTAAATTTGCCGCTCAACCTTAACGATGCTTGAGCGTAGCGATCGTTAATAAGAGATAAATTAATATCGATATGAGTTGGAACACTAATTATGCCCGATATATCGATTACAACAACGGTAACCGTGCTGTTATCACAGTTAACAGAGCACAGTTAACAGAGTACTCAAATTGGCTAACATCAATTTTGTTGTTATGCTCGGCTAACAGCGGTTCGATATTTTAACTAGAAAAAGCTGTTACAGATTACAGAATGTTGTTGATAGTGGCGATCAATTTAACATGATCAGTCTTGCACTGGAATGGATTAAATTTGGAAGCAAGAGTAAAAGATTTGATTTCAAGAGGGGGACAGCCGAATAATTTAGATGAATAGCAGAAGTCCCGTTTTCTACAGCGCCGATGCAGTGCGTCGTGTGCTCAACTGGCCGATGGTCAACGAGGCTGTGGAGACGGCGCTCAAGGCAGTCGTCGCAACCCCAACGATTCAGGATGATAAACAACAGGCACCACCGTATTCCCAATCACATGTAAGTCAGCCGGCTCGCAGCGTTACCAGTGCCAACAAGGAACACAGCAAAATGCTGCTGACGATGCCCGCTTTCGTGGGCAACTATCGACTAACGTCGAACGGAATGGGCGACGATTCCAGCGCAGTGTCCTGTTCGACTCTGGCCTGCAAGGTGGTCACCTCGTTCCGGAGCAACCAGTTGCTGCAGCCACCGCTACCGAGCATAAGTGCCAACATTCTGCTCTTCGATCCGGGAACGGGCGAACTGAATGCCATTATGGCCGGCACGGACATCACCACATGGCGGACGGTCTCTGCTTCGTTGGTGGCCACCAAATACTTGTTCTTCCGTCGCTTTGGGCCACATGCGGAACGAGAGCTGGCCATCAATGTGGCCATCGTGGGCTGTGGCGTCCAGGGACAACTGCATGCCGCCGCCATGTGCGCCAACTTCAAGGTGAATCAGCTAAATCTCTACAATCGCACGGAGTCGAAGGCGCAACAGTTGGCCAACCAGCTGGAAGAACAGATCCTGAAAGCCGACAACAACTGTAATGCCCCAAACAAAGTCAACATCAAGGTGTGCAGCTCGGCAAGAGAGGCTGTCCAACAAGTGGATGTCATCTGCGTTGCGACCTACTCCAAGGAGGCGCTCATCCAAGCCAGCGATCTGCGCGACAAGCGATCCGTCCACATCAACGGTCTGTACATCAGCATACATTTGGCACTCAACTATTAATCTTAGTTTTCATACTCAAATCACTCCTTCCTCCCCATTGAGATGCACTTGAACAATGATGTAGATGTGGGTTGGGGGTAAACATGGCAAATAAGTATCGAAAACGGATAATCACAAGCGCAATGCCAATGGAACATCCTCAACAAGTTTGAAGGATGCACGAGGACTCCTAGCTTGAATCCAGTGCGGATTCTTCAGCAGTTTTCAGACTGAGACTCATCTGACTTGTCGTACACAGAGAGATGGATGCTCAGAAGATCAATATCCTTTGACAGAACATGATTTTTCTGTAATCATTGTTCTCTGCATCATTATTATATTTGATGAACATAAATTGTTTGCCTTGAAGCAATGTCAGCAAAGTCAAACATTTACTGAATATCGCTTACAGTTTTCTGATTTCTAATCATTCAAATATACTCTATCTGAGACAGTTGTACTTCATTTGAAAAAAGGTTAAAATTTATGTTGATCGCAGTCAAAATTGAAAGAGTTCTGCTTGCCAACCTATTATTTTGTACAACATTTTGACTTGCCATGTTGGTCAAGGGAAAATTGTTAATAATTTTTTAATCACTTTTAATCTTTCAATACTTATCAATTTCTTGGCTCTGCCCTTTAGAAGATTATAATGAGTATAATTTAATATGCATTCAGCTGTGGGCGCTGGCGAGGTGCACTTCGGTGAGGTGGCCGCTGACATCTATGAGGAGTCCCTGGTCTACGTTGACTGTATGTCAAATGCTGAGCACGAGCTGCACGGCCTACCCGCCCCAATAGTCGGCGAGCTGGGCGCCGTTATAATCGGTGGCAGTTATCCAACTGAGCAGGCAGTGACCATATTCCAGTCGATGGGTGAGTAACACACATAATCAATTTGCAAATCGATATACATATATATATATATATACTGATTCTATAGGCATGGCATCGGAGGATGCTTGTGTGGCCGAGGCGGTACAGATGGCACTTGCATCCTGCGGCAAGTAATGCGCACATTCCACGTGGCCAGCAAGGATACGCAAGCTGGACATGCTATTAACTAAAAGCCATTATGCATAATGCCTTAATCTGACTTGTTGTTGCTGCAAGCAAATAAAATAATAAAATAATATTAACGATTAATGAAAAAAAACTGCGTCTTTTTTTTTGTAAATTTTTTTGTGTTTTGTAATCATTTTAGTATTTTTTTTATTTTCAATGTTTTCTTGTTTGGTTTTTGTCTTTTGTTTTGTTTTTTTTTTCTTTTGTATCATTTTGTTTTGTTTTGAAATTAATTTATTAATTAATTTTTATGTTTTACTTATTAATTTAGTATCTGTTTTTTTTTTTTAAATATCATCATCTGCTCAATCGCTTGCCATCTGCTGCCCTTTAATTCTCACACAAGATGCACTCATCCGATATATATATATATATATATATATATATATATGTATATGTATACGTATATATATTTACATAAACATCTATTAACATTTATATTTGTATATATATATATATGTATACATATATATAGTTAATTATAGATTTTGTTAGCCTTCAGAAACGTTTTGGTTTTTGTTGGGTTAATTCGCTGCGGTTTCCAGTCTAGGCCCTTTTGCGCTTTCCCAGTTTGGCTTAAATAATTTTTTAGCATATCTATTAAATAATTTGTTTATATATTCATATATGTATACATACATATGTATATATACATATATATGTGTGTATTCAGTTTTTAATTTTTTTTCTTTTTTTGTTTTGTTGCATGTCAATTTAAATTTGATCATTAGCATTATTAATAAAATACTCAACAAATAATTAAATTGGGCTTTTTCAACTTGCGACTCCTGCTGCAAATGAGACATCAGCTTGTGGCTGGTTTTTCTTTTTTCTTTTTTGTGTTGTTTTTGCTTTGATGCTGTTTCTGTTGTTGTTCTTGTTGTTTTTGTTGTTGTTGTTGGGCTTTAAGTATTTGTATTTTGATTTACTTTCTTTTATTTATTAGTTAGTACTATTTAAACACTTAATAGTTATTACGCTTTATTATGAATTTCCATTTAAAAAATGCCTAAGTTAGCACAAAAAGAAACAAACAAAATATATATATATATATATATATATAGCAGCAAGATATGAATAAAAATCAAAAATCCGGGTTTTATATTTTATTTTTCAAAACATTTTGCTTGTTTATTTTGTTGTTGATGGTTTTTGTGTTCAGTTTGCTTCCGCTGTAGGTCGAACCAGAACTGTTTTTAAAAAAATAATAATAAAAATAATAGTTTTTGTTTTAAATACATATACGTATACGAATATATATATATATATATATATATATATATATATATATACATATATGTAAAGACACATACATATTTAAGTAGTATATATGTATATACATACATATGCATATATATATATATATAATTTCAAATGTGCATTTTACATATAGATTCGCTCTTGCTTATTTGTTAAAATTAAATCAACACACACGTATTCAATTGATAGATGTATAATTTATAGTTACAAAAAAAATAATTATAATTACAATAATATTAATAATCATAATCATAATCATAATCATAATAATAATCAAATTAAATTACATATAATATTGACGTTGAATAATTGAATAATTCAAAGAAAAAAAAACACTCTTAAAACTGATGGCTAAAATTAAAGGAAAGTACGCACGTACATACACAGATTTTGTACGCATCTCTTGAAATGGTTCTCGATTTTGCTTTTGCTTTTGCTTCTGCTTTTGCTTTTGCTTGCTGTATTTTTGCTTTGCTTTGCTTTGCTTCTCTGTTAATTTTTTGCGGCTCTTTCTTTGGATTCATTAAACTTTAATTAGGCATAAATTAATTATTTTTTTTTTTTTTTTTTGTTTTTTTTTTTTGTTTTGTTTTTGTTTTTTACATATATGTATATATAATATTTACAATTTCTTTGCTACTTGTTTTATGGGTTTTGCTTGCTCAGCAGCTGCAACAACAACCTGCAACTGTTGCTGCCGCCTTCTGCCTTCTGCCTGTTGTTGCTTCTTGCTTCTGGTTTTGTATGCTCTGTCTCTGTCGCTGTTGCCTATATCTGTCTCATTCTCATTCGCTTTGCAATATTTCATATTTACTTTGTTAGCGCACTAAAATCTAATTTTCATTTTTTAATTTCCGTATAGACTAAAGAAAAAAATGTTTGCTGCATTTTTTTTTATATTCTTTTTTTTTTTTTTTTTTTTGCTTTGTATGTTTCTTTTGTTTTTGTTTTTTTTTTTTGCATACTTTAATTAATTCAACTTTACAGCTTTGCCCGTCTCTTTCAACATAAAACGCTATCGCTTTTCCTCTCGAAGTCCTGCCTACAAAATATTGCCAGAGCTTCGATTTTCCCCTACTGTCTGCGTTTTTCTTCATTTTTCTTGCAGTTATTTATATATATATATATATATATATATATATATTTTATTTATTTTTTGACTGTGGCTTGAAGAAGCTGTGGAATTTCGGTGCCTTGAAAGTGCCCGACGAAGAGTCCCCACCCTGTCCCGAACTTATATGTATGTAAACCTCCGTTGGTATCTCTCAACCCTCTGCTCAATTTCTCAACAATTTAGTTTCGTTTTCTTTGCTTTAGTCAGATTTTTATATATGAACTTTACAATACATATAGATCTCTATATATTATTGATACAATTAGCGTGGTAGTGTTTTTTTTTTTGTTTTTCATATTTTTAAATTGGTTTTTAATATATTTCTATCAATATGCCTTTGATATTAATATTTAATACATTGTTACGCAGTAGTTTACAGTTATGGTTTAAAATTAAAAAAAAAAAACGTGTCTATATTTATTAATTTGTAATAATTTGTATATGTATAAATATTTGTATATGTATATGTATATATACATCTATATATATATATATATATATATATATATATGTATATATATAATTTAATAAAAACTATTGCATTAGTTATTATTTAATAAGAAGTATTTTTTTTTGTTTTTTCTCAGATGTGTGTTCTTACTTTTCTTTATGTATACCTTTATATATAGTCATGTATATATACATATACATATATATATAGATACATATATATATATATATACACATATATATATATATATATAAATTTATTATTAAGAGTTGGTACAACTTGTTGAAAACTTTGCATATTAATTTTTGTATTTGTATTTTTGTGGGGCATATAAAAATGTTCGCTTTTATTGCTATTTGATTTTTATTATTTTTAATAAACATTTTAACTATTTCTTTTATTTAATGTTCTCTCTCTCTCTCTCGTTATCTCTCTATTTATTTCGCCCCAAACACGGTTTCTTTTTCCATTTCTAGTTTATGTAATTTGGGTTGTTCTTGTTGTTGTTGCTCAGCGTGTGTGTGTGTGTGTGTGTGTGTGTGAGGATGAGGAAGAGTGTGGAATTCGCTGCCAAAATAAAAACTATTGGCTTTTTGGATATACATAATCGATGTAACAGAATTTTGATACAAAACAAACATTGTTTAAATGCAAAACGATCTCAATTCGAATTTCATTTAAAAAATTTCATATTGCTGATATTAAAAACATATATATATATATATATATGTGTGTGTGTGTGTGTGTGTGTGTGTGTGACGCATCAGAACAGAGTTTGTTTGACTAAAACAATTGCAGGTTTAAAATTAGTTATAAAATGATGTATTTATATATAATAATGTATATATATTATTAAAATTATATATGTATTGAATATTAAGGCCAAAATGAAGACAAAAAAAACATAACATGTCTTGTGTGTGTGTGTGTGTGTGAGTGTGTGCGAACAACATACAAGCAAAACCCAGGTGTTGTCTGTGTGTGTGTTTAAGCATTTTTTTTACTGTTACTTTTGCTGATTTCTGCTGCAAATTTTGGCTTTTGCTTTTGCTTTTGCATTTGCATTTTGTTTGTTTTGTTTTATCTCCATCTACGCTAATTTAAGCTATAGTTTGTTGTATGTTGTATGTTGCTGTTGTTGTTGTTGGTGTTGGTGTTTGCCAGTTACTATCATGTATTATGTATTATTATTTAGATTGTTTTGTTTGTTTGTTTGTTTGTTTGTAATACAAAGAAAAACTGCTTTCTTGACGTGGGTATCAGAGACGCCGCAGTTGGCGTAGTTTTTGTGGTTAACTACTTACTAATTTTACATTTAGATTGTTTGTTTTTGTTTTTATCTTTAATTACTATTTTATAATTATTATTATTAATTTTCTGCTGCTTCTCTTGTGTTTAATATAGTTAACAAAAAAAAAAAAAAAAAAATACAAGTATTTAGCAGCCTTTTTAAACAACTATGTAGCTTTCTCTCCTCTTCGTCACCTCCTCTCTTTATTTCTGTCTGCTTCTGCTTCTGCTTCTGCTCCTCTATCTCGCTCTCTTCTAACTCTGTTATTTTACTTATTTTTGTTTTTTTGTTTTTCTTTCTTTCCTTCTCCATTCAGCGTTCGTTTTTAGCTTCAACGGAATTCTCGCCGTTTTCTTTTCTCTTGTTTTGTTTCGTTTTTTGCTTGCACATTTTGCTTTCATTATTCTTATATACTCTCTTCTGCCTTCTCCTGCCTTCTATTCATTGTTGTTTCTATCTTTTTTTATTCTTTTTGTTTTGTTTTGTTTTGTTGTTGTTTTGTTTTTTGCTTTACGCTTGTTTATCACATTGAATATAATATATATGTATATATACTATATATATATATTTATATATATGTATATAGTTTTATTTAACTTAAGTTTTTCTTTTCTTTTCTTTTTTGTTTTTTGTTTTGTTTTCTTTTTTCTCTTTTGTTTTATTTGTTGTTGTTTTATGCATTTGCGACGCGCTTTTCTCGAGAGGCGCTCATGGAAATTCTTCGGGTTTTACTTCTGGTTGTTGTTGTTGTTGTTGTCGATTTTGTGGATTTTGTTGACTTGTTATTGCATCGAGCATCAGCAGCAGTTGTCGACGACGACTCGTTTATTTCGGCAGTGTTGGCAGTGTTCTCGCTCAGAGCAGCTCCTGCTGCAACAGCAACAGCTGTTGCTGCTGATCCAGTTGGACTTGTTGCTGCAGCTGCTGCTGCTGCCAGCGCTTGTACATGCCCAGATAGGTGCGTGTGTTTGTTGGATTGCTGTTGTTGTTGTTGGTGTTATTATTATTATTATTGTTGTTGTTGTGGTTGATGTGATTGTTGTTGTTGCTGATGTGATTGATGTGGTGGTGGTGGTGGTGATGGTGGTTGTTGTTATTGTTGCTGCCGCTTGTCACCGCCAGGGGCATGCCACCCAACACTGACGGCAGCTGCAGCTGCTGCAAGTGCATTGCTGTTGTTGTTGTCGCTGATAATGATGTTGTCGCACCACCCGCTACTGCCACAACTGGCGGCAGCAGCTTGTAGTGTGTGGCATCCATAACCGTATCGTAACAATAGGCAGCCGCATCCAAAAATGTTGTCGCATAAAAGCTGTTCCGATTACAGATATCGTTGTTGATGTCATAATTATTGATGGTGCTGCCACTGCTGCTGTTGTTGATATTTATGATAAATTGATTTTGCTGTTTTTGTTGCTGCTGTTGCTGCTGTTGATGCTGCTGCTGTTGTTGTTGTTGGCCAGCAACTGCTGCTGCTGCGGCGGTGAATTATGAATTGGAATTGCGTTTAGTTGGCAGCTAGGACGAGCTGGACTGATTCATATTGCCAAACATGTGGGCTGAAAACGATGTCTGTCCCGCCGAATTGGCCTGTGACGTGGACGACTGTTGCTGCTGTTGCTGTTGCTGCTGTTGCTGCTGCTGCTGCTGTGCCTGCTGTTGATTCAGCGAGCCACGCCCATGCTTCGGTATGGGGGGCTGTATATACTCGTGCCGTGCCAATGCAAACACATCCATGCGATCCTCCTTCCGATAGGCCAAGCATCCACGAATGAAACTCTGCACATCAAAATCAAATCATTAAAAATATATCGAAATATCGAATACATATATACGAGTATAACTATATATATATGCATATACAGTAGTTAGTTATAGTTATAGTTGTAGCACTAACCTTTGCCTCATTGGAGACAGTCGGCTTGTTGGAGAACTGCACTTCGGTCGCCTTCAGTATGGTGTTCTCCTCAAGGATGGTGGCCTGCGACTGGTTATGGCCAAACGGCTTTTTGCCATATAAGCACTGATAGAATATCACGCCCACACTCCACACATCCACTTTCGATGAGATTTTGGGTGGATTCTTGCCAACAACGAAGCACTCCGGCGGCAGATACCTGTGAATTGGATTATGAATTTAGAATATATTTTCGAAGACATCATCTTATTGATATTGGGGGATTGGTTTTGATTTATAGATTTATTTGGCTGATCGGGTAGGTGGTAGTTACCAATAGGTGCCAGCGCCTTGAGATGTCAGATCCATGCCATGATCCGGATTATAGTTCTCATCGTCCATCACTTTGGATAGACCGAAATCAGTTATTTTGATCTCGCCGCAAACGTTGCCCTCGGTTAACAGTATGTTGCCCGGCTTCAGATCATAGTGGATGACGGGCGGTTTAATCTCATTTAGATACTTGAGTGCAGATACAACCTGTACATATGTATATATATATATATATATATATATATTAATACGGAACAGATCAAGAGAGAGAGAGAGAGAGAGTAGGAGTAGCACTCACCTGCATTATTATTGAGCGCGCTTCACGCTCGGGTATAGTCTTATGCTGCTTCAGATAAAAGTCCAGATCGTGTCCATCACAATACTCCAGCACGGTGCAGAATGAGTTCGCATCGATCTCAAAGACATCATAGAGCTTCACCACGCGCGGATGATCCAGCGCCTTGTGTATGTTGTACTCCCGCAATGCGTGTCTAAATGAAAATGTAAAATGGTTAAGGAATCATGAGGAATGGTTAAATGAATGCCCCTCCCGCCCCCATTCGCCCCTCATCCCACGCCTGCTACATCTGTCGCTCAACAAGACTGCCCCTAAATATTCGAAATACGAATTAAAGAAGATCTCTCAAATCGCAAAACGTATCTCTATGAAAAAAAAAAAAAAAACTAACAACTCAAACATAAAAAACATTAAATATAAATTGAATATAGCTGCTAACTGCCGCTGCCGCTGCTGCTGCTGCTGCTGCTGTTGCTGCTGCTGCTCCACTACTCACTTGATATAATTAGCTTTCTTATCCTCCTTCCAATCCTTGTTTAATTGGTGCACCTTACATGCGACATAGCGTTGCTCCTTGAGGTCAAATGCCTTGTGCACCTCGGAGAAGCCGCCCTTGCCCAGCAGCATTAAAAGCAGATAGCGATCATTCAGTACGGGATGATTGTTAAAGCGGGACTGCAATTCACAAACATCACAGATTAATCAGCATATATATATATAGATAGTATTTCAGTTTACCTGATCTTCATTGAGTATGCGCTTGAGCTCGCGTATGTGGAGATTACGTTCACGCTCAAGCTTCTCCATCTCCAGCTGCAGATCGGCGTCCTCCTTTTTGAGGGCGTTCTGTCGCAGCTTGAGTATCTCATCATATTCGTAATACTCCTGCGCCGTATACGCCCCGGACACCGGATCGGGTTTAAGAAATGTGCCCGAATCGGAGCAGCTGCCGCCGCTATCATTGCCACCGATGCCGCCGCCGCCACCAGCACCCGGTCCACCTGGACCGCTGCCGCCAGCACCGGCACCGCCAACACCGCCGCCACCGGCGCCGCCGCCGCGATCCGACAAACGATCACCGACGCCGCCGCCAACGCCGCTGTTGCCCACATTGCCGCCGACACCAGAATTGGCGCCGCCAACGCCACCAGAGCCGGCAATGCCGCCGCCACCAACACCACCCGCACCACCGCCGCCATTGTGCAGTAGCTGCTGCTGCTGTTGCTGTGCCTGTGTCGAATTCGAGCGGGAGAGGACGCGACCGCAGGAGACGACGACAACGGTGCCGCCGCCACCAGCGATGCCGCCAACACCGCCAACGCCGCCGGCGCCCGTCGCATTGTTGGCCGCATTACCGACAGCGATGCCGCTGTCGAGGCTGCCGGCGCCGGCATTGCCGCCCAGGCGATCCGTCAGCTGGGAGGAGTCATTGGAATTGGAATTCTGTTGCTGTTGCTGCTGCTGTTGCTGATGCTGGTGCTGGTTATTCTGCTGGTTGCTGTTATTGTTGCGTTTGCGTCCCGATTCAGCTGGCCGTTTCTTCATCAGCTGCTTCTTCTGGCGATCGATCTCCTCACGCTCAGCGGTTATCTCCTCCTGGCGTCGGCTGAGCTCCTGAAACGCATAGCCGTCCGTCCAGTTCTCCTGGAATGTGGCGCCGACACGCTGTGTCACAAATTGTCCCAATCTCAATCGATTCTGCATGCATTTCTGTCGCGCCTCCTTCTTCTCGATGCTGCTCTTCTCCTTGAGCAGCTTCTTGACCACATCAATACATTTGGCAATGTGCGACTTGTGCTGATCAATGGACTTCTGTTGGCTCATTATCTGGCACTTTTGCTCATCGGACAGTCTTGTCATCTCGTCCAGCTTCGCCTTGCCGGACTCATGTTCCGCCTCCCGCTCCTGCAGCTCCTGCTGTGACATCTCCGTCTGGGTGCCCTTCGTGTATGTCATTATTGTTGCTGGCATTGCCAGTGGCAGCGGTGGCGGCGGTGGCGGCAATACACCAACGACACCAACACCCACGCCCACATTTACGCCAACGCCAACACCAACGCCACCAACGACACCAACGCCGCCCACATTGACGCCCAGTGAGCCCAGTTGTTGATGCGTCGGCACAACGGCAACACTTGACGCTGACGATGTAACCGGCAACTGTTGCTGCTGTTGTGCCTGCTGTTGTTGTTGCGCCTGCTGCTGCTGTTGCTGCTGCTGCTGTTGTTGTTGCGCCTGTTGCTGCTGCTGTGGACCGACAACACCCAGTCCAAGCACACTATGCCCCACGCCCACATGTGACATGGCCACGCCCATTTGCGTCTGCTGAGGAACCATTGCATTGGAAGTCTGTTGTTGCCGCTGCTGCTGCTGTTGTTGCGCCTGCTGTTGTTTAGCCGCTACTGCCGCCGCTGCTGCTGCCGCAAAATGAAACTCTGGCCCAGCTTGCTGCACCTGCACCTGCTGCTGCTGCTGTTGCACCTGCTGCTGTTGCTGTTGTTGGCTGGGCGATTGCGTTTGTGCACTGGTCGAATGATAACCGTGTATGGAATACGCATTCGTCGTCTGCACCTGCACCTGACTATTCACCACCTGCTGCTGCTGTTGCTGTTGTTGCACCTGCTGCTGCTGTTGCTGTTGCGCCTGTGTTGCTGATGATGGCGATTTGCTGCCCGTGTGTTGCCGCAGCGCTGAATTGGCGCCACTCTGTTGCTGCTGCTGCTGTTTGTTGAAGTAATCGTTGATCTTCTTGCTGTCATTGCTGCCGGGCAGCAGAAGACGCGAACTTTTGTTGCCACCAGCACCACCGACCGTGGGTACACCGCCAACTGTGCCAGCAACACCGCCGCCACTACCAGCACCACTGACTGGCGGTAACGCACAGCGATCGACGCCGAGACTGAGTACCAGGCTGGATACACCCTTCGACATGTTGCTGTCCCGAAATGTGAGCGATTTCTTGAGGCCGCTAACAATGCCGGTGCTGTTGCCGCCGTTGCCGGCGTCCTCGCTGTTGCTGTTGGGCATTTTGCGTTTGCGTTTCCGCTCCGCTGGCGTTCGTGGCTGTTTCCCGCTCGCATTGCTCACGACAGCGGCGGAGGCGCCTGAAACTGAAACGGGTACGGCAACTGGACCGGGTCCGGGACCGGGACCGGGCCCGCTACCTGGCTGCTGTTGCACATTGAGCATGTCGAGCATTGAGGCGCCGTTATTGGAGTGCAACTGTTGTTGCTGCTGCTGTTGCTGCTGTTGTTGCTGTTGCTGTTGTAGATTGCCGAGTCCTAGCATATCATTGACATCCTTTTCGCTGTGCGAGGAACCAGTGCTCATATTCGAGTCCGGATTACTGCTATGGCCACCGGCAGCGCCGTGCGGCTGCTGCTGATGCAGGGCTACGTGCGGATGTTGCTGGTGTAAATGTTGCAGCTGTTGTTGATGCTGTGGCGGCAATGTTGTATGCTGATGCAGCGACTGTTGCTGTTGCTGCTGTTGTTGCGCTGCTGCCGCCGCCGCCGCTGCTGCTGCTGCTGCCGCTGCTGCTGCCGCTGCTTGCTGTTGTTGTTGCTGCTGCTGTTGTGTCGTCAACTGCTGCAGATGCAACGTGTGTGTTTGCAAATTATGCTGTTGCGATAGCTGCTGTGGCAGCAACTGTTGCTGTTGCGCTTGCGTACTGTGATGATTAGCAAAATGTTGCTGCTGTGGTTGCTGCTGCTGTTGTTGTTGTTGCTGCTGCTGCTGTTGTTGCTGTTGCTGCTGCTGTGCTGCCGCCTGACTGCTGGGATGATGATGACTTAGGGTCGATGTGGTCTGTGGGGCCATCTGCAATTGAGCGCCGGCGGACATCTGCAAAATAAGCCAGAATAAACATCAAATTAGTTTCAAAATGTTTCGACTCTTATTATTGCTTGCATTGCACACACATACACACACATATATATGTTGAAAATATGTAAAAGATCAATACAACATTCCGATTACTAATGTTAATAACAGAAAATATCGATACTGCGATCGATACCTTAACTTAAGAATACATCGAATAAATCTTCTTAGTCTAACCGCCAAACCCAGTCCATCACTTTTTGCCGCTTTAAAAGCCCAACAGCTTATGGGCCCAGGCATAAAAGAAAAAGTCGAATGAAACTAAGGTTATTCAGAAAAGCCGCGTTTAAGGTCGAGTGACATTTTTTCATTAGAATTGCATAATTTTGTATTGCTGTGTGCATTACCAACTAAAGTTTTCTGTGTGAGAACAAGTACGAGCGAAAAATGAATGCGCTGTACAATATAGACAAGTTGGACGAAACAAATTATGATTCGTGGAGTGTCCAAATGAAAAGTGTGCTAATTCACCAGGAGCTATGGTCCGTCACTTCGGGAGCTATGAAATGTCCAAGCTCAGACAAGACGAGTGAATATAGTCAGTGGTTATCAAAAAAACGAAAAGGCTTCAGCGGTGATTACTCTCTCAATAAGAGGTTCTGAGACTGGTCACATTAAGAAATGTGAATCGGCGTCGAGTGCGTGGATAACCTTAAAGGCAGTGCATCCGCCCACAGGTCCAGTGAGAAAAGTCACATTGTTCAAGAGATTACTCTTCATGCGGATAAACGAGAATGAGAACATGCAAATATATATTGCAAATTTTGTGAACACCGTGGAGCAGTTAACAGAAATTGGCATTGTGCTGCAAGAGGAAATATATGTTATTTTACTCTTGGCAAGTTTACCTAAATCATATGAAAATTTGGTTGTAGCATTGGAATCACTTGATGAATTACCAAAGTTTAATACTTTGAATGTTAAATTGATCGAAGAGTGTGATAGACGCAAGAGCGAAGCACATAGAGTGTGAACGAAAATAATGCACAGGCATTTTTAAGCAAAGCACACTACCCTAAAGAGAGTGCAAAAAAGACAGACAAAGTAGGCAAGAACCGAAACAAAAAAATTAATTGTTACAATTGCGGTAAAATTGGCCACATTTCTGCACAATGTAGGTCCAAGGCGAACGAAGGTCATGTAAAAGGAAGAGACGAAAAATCATTCTTCACGTTGCTAAGTGCAAAAAACGGTGAACGATTGCTTGATAAGTCAGCGTGGTGCTTAGATAGTGGCGCCACAGCTCAGATGTGCGCAAATCAAAATATGTTTAATTCGTTTGAACAATTCACTGATACAGTCACACTTGCTGGTGAAAAATGACTAGAAGTAGTCGGACGAGGAGTCGTCATGATTAAAACGGAATCGTCAACAGTAAAACTTACAAACGTTCTTTATGTGCCACAATTACAATGCAACTTTATTTCGGTGAGCAGAGCAGTAAAAGGAGGCTACACTGTAAACTTTAAAAATAATCGTGCGTGTGTATGTGATGAAAACGGTAAAATCCTGATTATTGCAAATCACAGAAGCAATTTATTTCTGTGTGAAATAACTAAAACAATAAATGCAGTGTTCCTAAGTGGAAATGGCAAAAGCAGCAGCACAGGCAGCAGCAAAGGCACCGGCGAAGATAACGGTAACACCGATACCAATAAAAGAGAAATCAGCAAGAAAAGTAACCGACTTGAAAGAACCAGTGGGCACGGATGGCGAAAACCAGACGACGAGAGGCACAAGCTGAATCTTGTGAGCAGTGATGCCGTCATAAAACCAGAAACTGTGGAAGAAGCATTGGAAAGTCCACAGGCGATCGAATGGCAAAAGGCCATGGCACAAGAATTCGGAGCACTGAAAGTGAATGGAACTTGGGAACCAGCCGAATTACCATCCAATCATAAGGCGATAGGATGCAGATGGGTCTTCGCACTAAAACGTGACAAAAATGGCACCATAGAACGATACAATTGGTGGTATACCGTTGGCGTCCGGGTATACCACCAAATGTGAGAGCCAACAATGCAAAACGGTCAACCAGGCAGAGTACCAGTTACTGATCGGATCATTGATGTATCTGGCAGTTACATCCAGACCTGACATTTTACATTCAGTATGTAAGCTGTCTCAACGGAATACGGATCCCCACCAAGAGCACTGGGCAGCAGCACAACAAGTGCTGCGATATCTGAGGACGACGTCTTCAACGGGCATAACATATGCTAAAACTGGAAATCCCATCAAAGGCTACGTTGATGCGGACTGGGGTGGAGATAAAACGGACCGAAAGTCGTACACTGGATACGCATTCATTCTTGGCGGTAGCGCATTCTCGTGGGAAAGCAAGAAGCAGTCGTCAGTAGCAGTAAGTAGTACTGAAGCCGAATATATGGGAATGTCGGAAGCAACTAAAGAAGCTGTTTATATTCTGAAATTATGTAACGAAATGAACATATACAGAAATATGAAAAGTATTGTAATTCATGGCGATAATTTGAGCGCTATGAACTTAGTTAAAAATCCAGTTAACCATGCAAGAAGCAAGCATATAGATATTCGTTATCGCTTCGTGCGAGAAGTTTTTAATAAGCTTGTGATTCAGCTGGAATATTGTCCAACGAGACAAATGATGGCAGATATCTTAACTAAGAATTTGAGCAAGTCAAAACATGAAAATTGTAATAGATTGCTTGGTCTCAAATTAATTGTCAATAATGTGTATTGAGGGGGGAGTGTTGAAAATATGTAAAAGATCAATACAACATCCCGATTACTAATGTTAATAACAGAAAATATCGATACTGCGCTCGACACCTTAACTTAAGAATACATTGAATAAATCTTCTTAGTCTAACCGCCAAACCTAGTGCATCACTTTTTGCCGCTTTAAAAACTCAACAATATATATATTAATATATTTATATATAGAGAGAGAGATTTAAACAATTGATCGATTCTTGCTATCGATTTGCAATGGACTGCCGTTTTGCAACACTGAACCACTTTTTGTTTTGATTCGCTGGTTCGTTGGCGACACAGTGCAGCGCTGCCAGACGAGTGCCTCTCAACTAAGTGGCAACCGTGGAGGCTGAGCAATTGAAAAAAAAATTAAAATGGTAGAATAGCGAAAAGAGCGAAAGAGAAACGTGCAAAATACATGGCAACAAAACGATGAGTGAGCGTATGGACTGTGAGTGTGTGTGTGTGTATGTGTGTGTTTATATGAGTGAGTGAGACGTCACAGCAAGCGCGTGCTACTCTGCTGTGCGCCGCTCCGCATGATATGCGTGTGAGTGAGCGCAATGCAGCAGCAGCAATGTCTCTATATATTTATATATATATACATGTGTGTGTGTGTGTATGTGAGTATACATGTGTGTAAATTATTTTATCAAAAGCAAAGACAATGAGAGAAGAAAAAAAAACCGACACAATAGAACAAAGTTGAAAATTATTGTACAAATTATATGTTTTTACCGCGCACAATTTTGTTTTCACATATTTACTTTTTGCCAACAATCTCTTCTCTCAAGCTTTGTTCCTCACACAACACAACACAATTTAATTTAATTTTTCTTTGCATTTGCGTTTTTGGTTTCTGTTTGTTTTTTCTTTTTGTGTGTGTGTATTTGTAAGTATGTATGCTTATTTATGACAAAATGCCGTTCACCTTTTTTAAGCGCCGCATATTTTTCTGCACACACATACGCTTTGCTTCTGTGTGTATGACGTGTATGTGTATGTGGGAGTGTATGTGTGTGTGTGCGTATGAGGTCGTGTGTGTGAGTGAGTGTGTGTGTATGTGTGTGAGTGAGTGTGTTGTGTGTGAGTGAGTGTGTGTGTGTGTGTGTGTGTATGTAATGTATGAATTTTCACATTCTATTACAATTTATCACATTCATCGCTGTTTATTTATGCACTTTAACAAAATGAACATAACTCTTTACGATTATTATCGACTATTTTGCACGCCGCGTACTTAGTTTATGGCTGGTATATGTATTTTTCTTTCAGTTTCGGGGCAGGCAGCAAATTGTTATACGCGTATTTGTAATGGTGCGCGCGGCCCGTAACGAGCAAGAAAGAAGGTGAAAAAAGAAGAACAAGAGCAATAAAACGCGTACACAGACAACGACAGCGGCAGCGACGAACGTCTCAGTCTCGGCGCTTTTGCTATTTGCAGAGAGCACGCGAGCGCGAGTACGAGAGCAAGGGTGAGAGACACAAAAAAAAATTCAAGAGAGAGTGAGTGAGTGAGCGCAAGAGCCAAGAGCAAGAGAGCGCGCAACGAGCCGGAGCTGAAGTCGAGACGACAACAACACCACACACTGCACCACTACACAACACTATACTATTTGCAAAAAACGACGAAAAGAAATGTACAATAAAAATTAATCCGATTGACAGGCAGCCACCGCTTCGTCGTCGTCGTCGTTGTTGTCGTCGTCGTCTGTCGTTCGCTCGGCCTTCGTTGGTTTGCGCTGTGTTGTTATTGTTGTTGGTGTTGGTTTCTGTTGCTTTTGATAAATTTCTGCGACTTCCGCGCGCGCCCAGCCAAAAACAACATCGAAACTAAACTACACAACTACAACAACTTTTTGTAGTTGCTGCTGTTGCTGCGCTGACTTTGCTGCGCGACTGCGAACGCTCTTCTTCTTACTACTCTTCCAACATTGCCCAGCAAGCAAGCAGCAACAACAACAGCAGCAACAGAGCAACCCAACCGGCGTCTTTGTCATTTCGCGAGGCGCGCGTTGCTGTCGACGTTGGCAGCGACGCCATTGCCCAAATTATGTTGGTATTTCTACATACACACACACAAACACATACACATGTACAACACGTATGACGATGTGCGATTGTGTTAGTGAATGAAAAAACAATTAAAATTATAATTCAATTTATAGAAATACGAATAAATACAAATACGTAAACAGATTCAATTATGTGTATAACAGTGCAAG